GGAGAAGTATACTGTCTGATTTCTGGGGCGATAAAGCAAAAGGAGCAAGAGGACAGAGGAAGAAATTGAGCAAATGATCTAAAAATTTATAGTTAATATTATTTTTTAGTTTATGGCCTAACATCTAAACATTTTCTGTTTTACAGTAGTAGGTATGGTTATTTATAAATATTTAGTTTTTTATTTAGTTGTTTATTAAGTGGCAAGTGGTTTCACCTCTCTGGAATGGTGGTTAAGGTTTTAGGCGGAACACGGTTAATCCGGCACTACCCTGAAGTTTTCTGGCTTAGTATCCTACTTGGCCGAAAGATGCCAGGGTGCCTTGTTCCGTGACGTAGATGTCCAAAAAAGATTTCCCCCACCGTTGTCTGTCAGAATTCAATGGATACCTTCTTAGGCTCTTACTGCAATCTGGCAATACGGCAATTAAAAAAAAAGATGTTGAGTGGCTCTTTGAGAGACCGAATCCCAAACGGTGAAATACGTCGTAGAACAAAAACAACAGACGCTATCGAAAAAATCGCGTCGTTAAAATGGAATTGGGCAAGATACGCCGCCAGATTATCAGACAACCGATACACAAAACGTATTTTAGAGTGAAGACCAAGACAAGAAGCAATACGGAGCAGAGGACGCCCACCAACTAGATGGCCAACGACCTGAAGCGTGTTAGCAATAACTGGGTGCAAGCCGCACAAGACAGAAACATATAAAAAGAGCTGAGGGTGACCTATGTCCAGCAGTGGACATATACAGGTTGATGATGATGATGAGTAATTTAAAGATAAGAAACAATAGGAAGAAGGTATCTACATATAAGTCACTTTATTTAGAAGACGAATAGTCTCTTTTTGGATGTTAAACAAGCATTTGACTAATTTAAAACGCGGTCTAGATAAGCTATAAATATAATACGAATATTAAATTAAATTCAATAGTTTTGACAAAGATTGCAATGGTTTGGTCACTTCAGATGTAGAAATAAAAACTATTTGGGAAAAGTAAAGATGTGTTAGAAGTTGAAGTAAAGAAAGGTAGACAAAAACTGAAGAGTATATGAAACGATTGTGTGGCAGCGGACAAGACAGGGAAAGGTTTGGGTATAGAAGACACGATGAACAGAAATAAGTGACAAAGAAGAGTATGGAACATCGACAACTGAAAAGGGAAAAGCTAAGGAAGATGAAGATTGACATTTCAATTTCCACTTCGGAAATCATTATAATATATATATATATATATATATATATGTATATATATATATATATATATATATATATATATATATATGTATATATATATATATATATATAAATATATATATATATATATACATATATATATATATATATATATATATATATGTATATATATATATACATATATATATATATATACATATATATATATATATATTATATATATATATATATATATATATATATATATATATATATATATATATACATATATTGGATTTGAAACTTCCGCGGGAGCTATAAGTGATTTCAGATGTTTTCCGGGTTTGACTCCGCGTTAAGTAATTTTGGTTTTTAGAAAAAACCATTGTTTTGACGACGTTTCGGCAAGGTCACACTTGCCATTGTCAAGTCAGATTAGTTCTGCTTCGTCTTGATGTTTCAGGAGAACTGATTTCTCGGTCGCTGCTCGCTAAGTTTAAATACCTTGAAGCGCTTCTTGTTATTGGTCCTGTACGCAGAGTGGGCGGGGTCTTCTTCGCTATTTTAATTTCTACGTTTTTCTGTAGAATTGGTTTCCACGTATTTGGGAGTCTTTGGGCATCGTCTCTGGTATTTAAATTTTTTGGATGTTTTTCGATCTCTATGGCTTCCCTGATTACACGTTTGGCCTTATTTTCGATATTGGCTAGCATTGTTGTTCCATTTAAGTCGATTTTGTGTCCTTTATCGACCGTATCAAGGACGTTATTCTGGAACCTGAACACCTATTAGTGAGCTTTGATGTAGTGTCATTATTCACCAATGTGCCAGTAGATGAATCATTAGAAATTATACGCAGAAAATATCCAATACCACAGGATACATTAAACCTAACGAGGCACTGCTTAAACAACACCTATTTCATCTACAAGGACCAGAGGTACAAACAAGTTGAAGGGGCACCGATGGGTTCACCACTGTCACCCGTAATAGCCAACCTTTTTATGGAAGATATAGAATCAAAAGCAATAGAAACATATATATTATATATATATATATATATATATATATATATATATATATATATATATATATATGTTGATATGTTTGGTGTTAGATTATTCTAATTACATTTTATTTTTCTTCAGATAATAGTGGTAAGAAATTATAAAAGAAAAACAGATCGACGACAAAGTTGGAGTGAACAACAGATGCACGAGGCAGTGCAACTAGTTATAGATGGTTTCATGGGATATAAGAAAGCGGCTTAGCAATTTAATATACCCCAAACAACATTAGAGCGCTACGTTAAAAACAAAACGAAACAATTCCGAATTCAAAATTCAGAAAACGCTTGGACGTTATAAATGTATCTTTTCAATAGAACAAGAAGCAGAACTAGCAGTGTATTTGACCACCGTGGAAGCTCAACTATTTGGTCTGACCATTAATGAATTAAGAGAACTTGCTTTTGATTTAGCAGAACGCAACAACATTGTTCATCCGTTTAAAAATTCAAAAGCAGGTTTAGACTGGGTAAAAGGATTCTTGAATAGGCATCCTAATCTTAGCTTACGAAAGCCAGAAGCTACCTCGTCAGCTAGAGCAATGGGAATTTAATAAAGTCACAGTAAAACAATTTTTCGACCTTCTTTCAAATATTTTGGATACCCATCAGTTAACAGGGGAGAGAATATATAACTGCGACGAAACGGGCTTAACAGTAAATCCTAAAGGTCATTCTAAAGTAATTTCCAAGACGGGACGTCGTCAGGTCGGAATTTTAACTTCAGCTGAACGAGGTCAAATTGTTACCGCTGAAATTTGTTTCTCCGCTAGCGGCACATATGTTCCCCCAATGTTAATTTTTCCCAGAAAACGCATGCATCAAGAATTTCAGACTGGACTTCCATCGGAGGCGTTTGCTGAGGTTCAGGAGACTGGGTGGATGACCAAGGAACTGTTTGTTGTTTGGTTTCAAGGATTTATTTCTTTTACCGGAGCCAAAAAAGAGAAACCAATTCTGCTTGTTTTAGATGGACACTCCACCCATACCAAGAGCTTGGAATTAATTGATCTTGCACGAGATAACGGGGTAATTTTGTTGTGTTTTCCGCCCCATTGTTCTCACCGACTTCAACCACTAGACGTGGCATTTATGAAACCGTTAAGTAAGTACTACGAGGATGAAGTACATAAATGGTTGAGATGTAATCCTGGAAAAGTCGTTACCTTGTTTCAGATAGCTTCGTTATTTGGGGCCGCTTTTATACAGGCTGCAGCGATGAGCACAGCTATAAATGGTTTTCGAAAAACTGGAATCTGGCCATGTGACATGAATGTTTTTAAAGATGAAGATTTCTTACCTTCTGCAACGACAACATTGAACTTTCTCTCAATGATACAAGGGAGATGCAAGTCCAGAGTACTACAGCTTTCAAAGATTCTGCCCAGTCACTTCCAGGCCAGCAACATCTAACTTTCATCCATCTAACTTCGTATTGTACAAAATATTTTCAGTCCATCGACTTCGGCACAATCTTCCATTTACTCAACTTCTCAACGAGATCTGAATTGTAGTAGTTTTAAAGGTGCTAGTCCCCAAATCATTTTGCCAATTCCCAAAGTATCACAGACAAGTAAAAGGACTACCAGGAAACGTGGAAAAACTGTGATTTTGACATCATTGCCATATAAGGACGAGTTGCGGAATGCTGAAAATCAAAGCATGCAAGGAAAAGCAGACCAAACCGTAAAAAGAAATCTGCTTAAAAATAAAAAAGGCACCGTTAAACCAGCCAAACAACAAAAAACATCATCTACTATTCAGAAAAAAATGCCAATTCCTACTCCTGCTTCATCTGATAGTGAAGAAGAGGCTGCAGAAGATGAGTGTCTATACTGCCATGACTTCTCTGAAGAAGGGTGGATTCGTTGCCTATCATGCTCCAAATGGGCACATAATTCGTGTGCAGGAGTTGATGAAGCTGACGATGATGCTACACACTTATGGGCTCTATGCAAAAATAATTAAAGATACATATGTATTTTATTGTTCAATACTTATGAATACAAAAATAAAGATATTTTTTACCTTCTGACTTTAGCTTTTAGGAGGTACCCTGTTCTGCCCCATAGGGGGGGCAAAATGGGGCAAATGACACATGCGTCAAAATATTAGTATACATCAGAAACGTCAAAACTATCATGTCACGCAATATTATTTTTTTACTTATTATTTCATAGAGATTACGCTTACAGCTTGAAACAAATAATTTTTAATACCGTGTATGAAATATGTAAGTTCAAATCTTACGTACCCCATTTTGCTCACCTTTCCCCTATATATATATATATATATATATATATATATATAGGCAACACACGCCCTTCCGGTAGTGATCTGTTAGCCTTTTTGTTTTCTGTACACCGAGCTGGGGATTAAACTGACATATCTCGCAATGAAGCGAAGGAGAAGCCAGCCATCCAGCCCGCTTGGCTATCCGATCGACAGCTCGGAAATCATAATCAAAGTACAAATATTAGTAAATTAAACAAATTTTCATTAAAAATAAAAAATTTTTAAGCAAATAAAAAACAATTGTTTATTTTACTTATGTTTGTATTTTGAGAACGATTTCCGAAGTGGAAATTAAAATATTAATAAACTTAGTTTAACCTCTAATTGTGGCTTATTCCCATTTAAATAGTAATTACTTTAAAATGTCACAAGAAAATAGCTTCATAACAATATTAAATAATACAATCTTTAAAAAATAACTAAAAAATCTTTCTTTAATAAATAATATAAACACGCACCTTGCGGAGGTCCAGATTTTAAAGCTTTATATTCAAGTGCACTAGTTGCCGTTTGATAAGTTTTGCTGGCTTCTAATGCATCGTTTAATAGTTTTTCGTAAGCATCAACGTCCTGTTTAGTATAATATTCCACTGAACTTACTGAAACCAATACACAGAACAAAATTACACTTTGGAACATATTTACCGAAAATAACACATTTAGCGAAATTTATTAATGTTTATATACCCCCAAAATTTACATCAGTTATCAGATAATTAGTATATAATCATATACAGGGATAACTAACTATACACTTTAAAGTAGATAAGGTGAACATATTTCTTTCTGTTAATAGTTAGATAATTGTAAGAATTATTATAATATAGTTAATGATACCAAGTTTTAATTATTTCAATATAAGGTTGAATGTTCGAATAATTAAACTTTGTGGGTATACAAGGCAACTATCGAACACGGTGATTAATTTAATCTTGCCCAAGTACTTTCGATCAATAGATCATATTCAGGGGCATTTCGTCAGTTGTGGCCTATCCGACATAGTAGAATGTCATAAATGTAAAATTTGGACATAACAATACAAAATACAATACACTAAGACAAACAAACACTTTAAAATTTTTAAGGAGAAGCTACATGTTGTATAGAAGCCGGAGACGAATGACATTCTGTCAATGAGACATTCTGTCTCCGGCTTCTATACAACATGTAGCTTCTCCTTAAAAATTTTAAAGTGTTTGTTTGTCTTAGTGTATTGTATTTTGTATTGTTATGTCCAAATTTTACATTTATGACATTCTACTATGTCGGATAGGCCACAACTGACGAAATGCCCCTGAAAATGATCTATTGATCGAAAGTACTTGGGCAAGATTAAATTAATCACCGTGTTCGATAGTTGCCTTGTATACCCTCAAAAAATTTTAATTATTTGTTCTTTTAATAGAAAATCTATTTTTGTTCTTCTCCTTTTAAAAACTCTTAAAAGTACCAATTTGATCTTCAAACATAAGCCCCTTGTACTAAGGTCACAGCTTTACCGTATTTGGAGATGGCTCATGCTCATGATCTACTAGTAAATTACCCTAAGCCATTCTCACGACTTTGAAAACCGAACAACCGAGCTACAATTTTTAATAAATCTACCCAAATATTAGCATAGGTGACATGGACCTTGTAGCATTATTTCTTGATATGCCTAGCAGTGATGAATATTGACAAGCATCATGACAATCTATATCTTGTCTGCAGCAGCGCGGCAAAGCTGCACATATTATGTGTTAAACCAGGTTCCAAAGCTCTTTAACCAGAATCTTTCTCTTTTTGGACCTCGCTTTATAAATATTTATACTCTCCTTGTAGGAGGGTATATCTAGATTCATGTCGCAATATATGTCCGAAATATTGTAGATTTCGAGTTTCGATGGTGGTGAATACCTCTCGGTTTTTTTCCATTCTTCTAAAGACCGTATTTGTCACTCGGTCAGTCCATGGGATCTTAAGTCTTTCTCGATATTGCTACATTTCAAATTCTTTAAATGTTCTACACATATTTTCGTTCAAAGCCCACGATTCGACACCATAAAAAAAGACAGAGAAGACCGAATTATTACTTTTATACGAAGAGAAAGGTTACAGCTCTTGAAGAAGGCTCCAATCTGGTTTACGGGCTATTCTTTATTCAATATGATAGCAAAATAGTTGTAGTATATCACTCTTTCTACTAAGGTTTGGTTGACGTAGAGATGACTTTATGTTATCTTTTTCTTGCTAATTTACAAGAGATTTGTCTTCTTTACCTTTCTATTGAGTCCGTATCATTGACTGTAATACGCGATTTTGTTCATAAGAACTTGCAGGTCTTTTAGGTTGTCCGTAAATACTATGGTGTTATCTACATAATCTAATGTTGTATAGCGGGTACCCATTTAAAAGAATACCTTTTTCAATTCAATTTCATGCAAAGCCTCGCAAAATATTCTTTATACTTTCCAACGCGACAGTAGAGATGGTTCTGGTCATCAACGAAAATAAAACTAAGCTCACGACATCAGGAACAGGTCATATAGGTAAAACATGGGGCATGACTTTAAGATCTGTATCTATAATTCTGAAGTTATTCAACAATTTTCTTATCTGAGATCATGGTCAACACCAACAACGTAATATCGGAAAAGATAAACCATAGAATAACGCTCGCAAATATAAGTTACTAAGGACTAATAAAACACTTTAAAAGCCACTTTCAAACAAGGAAGACAAATATCATAATATATAGAACCTTAATAGTCCGAGTTCTAATGTACGGTTGTAAGATATGGGTACTTTTAATAAAGATGAAAATAATCTATTATTATTCGATAGAAACGCCCTCAGGAAAATTTTAGATTTTAGAAATTAGACTCCTGCGGTGAGCAGGACATCGAGTAGGGTAAAGTGTGCAAATCGCGGTCACCTAAGAAGAAAATTTAATATAAAAAAAAGTAAAACTCTGTGAATCAAATTTAAGCCGTCAATCCGTAATTTGGGGTTTTAACTTATTGCAAGATACATTTGATTTCAAAAATATAAAATTTTTGTCTTTGACAGAGACAAAACATAAAAAAGTATCTTTGACCGTATTGTCACCATACATGGACAATACCGGTCATGAGTGTGGGTAATGCCAGTCAATTTGTTTGTGTTATTATTAAAATAAAAATCAATATCTATTTAACATTTTTTTGTTATAAAACGATTAACGAATGTGGCTTAATGGGTCATAATTCAAGTAAATCAGTAAGAAAGGTGAAAAAATATTTTTTATTACGAAACAAACAAAAAATATGTGTTTTAATGTAAAAATAGTTGACAGTCATCGCAGGTATAACTCTCTGCAGAATCCCATCCACTGCACTCTGAATAAGCCCATCGTGAGCAAACGGTAAATATATACCACAATTCATTGTTTTTGCCAAATTCGCTGTAAACCAGGCATCTATCTTCGTATGCATCGTCACTGTTATCACATGATATATCAATATCCGATTCCAAAGAACTAGAGTCAAACACCTTTTTCTTGTAATGCCAATTACAAGAAAAAGGTGTTTTATTACAAGAAAAATTATCTTGTAAACCCAAATGCTAATTTTCTCAGTTCTATTGCTGTTACGCCATAAAGAATTAAGCTAAATATTTTTTTTGTGTGGCTATTTTAGCTTCTTGTTTGGCAGAAAATACTGATTTTCTACCTAATGAGACACCTTGAAGATTTTTATTTTTTATCCTTTCTTGCAATGTCAAAAAATGGATGGATTCATCCCTAAGAATTAATAGTATGGGGTATAAATTATAGCATGGGGGTAATACCGGTCAACTGACCGGTATTTCCTCCTGTTGGCATTTTTTTTCTTAGAATTTTTTACTCGTAAACATGTATTAAAATATTGATCTTTAAAAAAGGAATAGGCAGCTAACGTCATTATAATCAATTGTAACGCTCGTCAGTAATCTGAATACAGAGTAGTGTAGCGACACGTTGGCAGTTATAGGAGGTTGCCAGATTGAATAGATTTCGCACAATCGGGATGACCGCCATTATCCACTGACCGGTATTTGCACAGTTTACCCTAATTGAAAGCTACTTTCCACGACATAATTTATTACCCAGTCTGAGAAAACTAGACAAAGAGATACGGCAAGATTAAGAAGGGGGGATGGTGTAGATGGGGATGTCAGAAAGATCAATTTAATTAGCTGTTATCAAGGCTGAACTTGGGCCGTAGCAGAAAATATAATGATGATGATTATGACATTGTTGGCCGCTCACTATGATTGGTCACTTTTACAAAAATCCGAAATATTAAAATTTTTAGAAATTATAAGGAAATAAATTTATTTGCATTTAAATTTGGCAACATTGCTGTATATTTTTTCTAGCTATTATCTCTCTCAGTTAAAATTATCTAGTTGTTACGGCGTGTGTTGTTTGAAGCTTAACAGGTGCATCTAGTTTTAATAGTTTTTTAAAGAATTTGTTAAGAAAGGCTATTCACGAGGTGAGTTATCTTGGCTAATAGTATTATGTATCTGGAATATATTAATGTTTTATCGCAATTTTGTGGGGTACATCTTACATTATCAGTGGTTTTAATAGTAAGGTTATGCATTTTTAGCGGTAAATTTGAGTGGCCAAGCACTGTATCTTAAATATGTCCCTAATAATGAATGCTGTACCTACTTCGAATTAAAATATTTATTATAGTTTCGACTTTTTTAGCCTAGTTTGGTCCAAGATAAAATATTTCAAACAATTTTTCTTATTTTTTAAAGCAATAACCAGTGGTTGGCCGCTTGCCAATCACTAAACCTCAGGGTGGCCAATAACTGTAATGTGTAATAAGAATATATTTTTTGTCCGGATTCGTATTTAAAAAATTACAGTTGTTTTAGTTGTTATAAACTTAGTGCTAATGTGAGCATATTGATTCAAATTTGAAACATCCATATTGTAGATAATGTTAGTACTATTAAATGATTTTTATTTTTAGAATCAAAAATGCCAAATATCCAGAAAGATAAAACGTATTACAAACAATATATAACCCGACAAGCGAGAGCTGGCGGGTTGCGCGTAGAACAAATTGAAAAGTGGAAGTTATTGCTCATTTCTATTGCAGTCAGCTAGGAGTTCACATCGTGTATAACCGTTTAAGTACCTATACTATATACCTATAATCGCGATTAAGTACCTCTCCTATCTCTCTTAGAATAATTCCTTTTCTATTTTCGCGCAGCTCACCCGCCAGCTCTCGCTTGTCGGATTATACAAAACAAGATCTTCAGTCTGCTTTTCAGGCAATAGAAAATGGCATGAGCCAACGAAAAGCCGCTGAACAATTTAATATGCCAAGAGTAACATTGCAGTTTAGAGCAAGTGAAAAATTTAATGAAAAAACTACCCTTGGCCCAATCCTATTCTTTGTTTGGAGGAAGAGAATCGTTTAAAGCATTGGATCATAACATGCCAAGACAAAGGTTTTTCAGTAAGAGTGGAAGATATTCAAGACTTGGTGAAAGGTTTTCTTGACGCAAATCCACGTGTCAATCCTTTTACTGAAAATCGGCCCGGAAGAGGTTGGTATAGATCCTTTTTAAAGCG